TATATATATATATATATATATATATATACCAGTATATATATTTTTCTCTTTTGGCCTGAAGGACTTTTATTTTAACTCAAAGTTAATGTCTCCTAAGCAACTCAAGGTAATTATTACAATTTCATGAAAATCAGTCGACACTGAGATACACTTTTAAAATATTGATGACCACATAATGACTTGATTGTAGTAAAAGTCATGGAAAAAAAAACTTGTTTACTAAAGATGAATCATTAAATTTGGTGTCACAATTCCTGGCACTACTTACACACCATACTGGTGGGAAAGATGTTCCTGAGACACAAAATGCTGAAATAAAAAACAAAGCTGTAAAAACATGATCAGGTTTTATATTATTTAAAATTACTAGGTAGTTTGGATGCATTCCTTTAATTCTTAGTTCCTAAGCCATGCATGCTTTGAATGATTTTATTTTTATTTTTGGCTTCCTTGTGACATTCTCTGTTACTGCATTCCTCTGACACAGCCTAGCCTTTAACTGGTTTCATCAGTGTTTGGATGTGAAGCTTCCTCTTCCTGTCCTGGATCAGTCTTTCCGTAGTGTGCTCTGTGTATACTGGATCCTGGCCTGCTCTGCGATTGTCTGGAAATGTGACATTGATGCACTAAACAGTTTGTGTCCTGAATGATTAGTGTCCTTGTTGCATTTGGTCACACAAGCCAACTCCACAGATCCTGTAGGGATGCGAAGGTGTGTGTTTCTGTGATGGACATGTTTGACCCTCAAGTAAAAAATACATTTATAGGTCGACTGGTGTAACAAAAGAGTCAACAAGGAATAAAAAGCAGGTGTTTTATGTGGTGGTAAAAAAGAGAATCATCAACATTTTAGAGTTGTTGTCTAAGTAAACCATGGGACAACAAAGCCTATATCCATTAACATTTAGTTATAGGTCTGCTCAGAGATCTTTTATCTACACTTTTTCACCTCCAGCTTAGAGGTTGAAGAATTCACCTGCTCCCTGTCGTTTCTTCTATCCTGTCTCGTAATCAGTGCCTTCCTCAGCTGATAAGTACTCCAGTTATTGATACCTCCACGCTCGCTGCACTGGGACTGCATCCAAGTAATGTGCTCCTCCTGTTCCAGGGTGACTTATCCTTGTCCGCTATTGGCTGAGCGTGCAGGAATGCAGCTCTTCCTACATATTCAAGTTCACCGGCAGATAAAATGTTACCAGGATTGGACTAAAAGCGCTTTACACTACAATCTGTCCCTCATTTACCCATTCATACAGCACTCTACTAGAGCTTTACAAAGACTACTGTATTTTTCGGACTATAAGGTGCACTTAAAATCCTTTAATTTTCTCATAAATCGACAGTGAGCTTTATAATCCGGTGTGCCTTATGTATTAATTCTGGTTGTGCTTACTGACCTCGAGCCAATTTTATGTGGTACATGGCGCTCAAAAATCTGTCAAAATGAACTTGTTTCGCTTAATGTGCCTTATAATCCAGTGTGCCTTATAGTATGAAAAATACGGTAATCTGTGCTTTATCACATTCATACACTGATGGGACACACATCAGAGGCAATGAGGGGTTCAGTGTCTTGCCCAGGGACACTTCAGCATTTGACTGCTGGTGGAATCGAACCCCCAACTCTTGCATTGGAGGACGACTGCTCTAGCCACTCAGCCACAGCCGCCCTGTGTAGCTCTAAATCTCATTTAAGTTTAAGTTTAGATCTGTACTTTGAATATTATTCATCTAAACCAATGTCTGGCTGAAAGTTACAGTATAATTTCAAGAAAAGTTGTTGTCGTGTAAAACAATGTCATTTGTAAAGATTAACAAATCATTTAAACTATATTTAATTTTTTTTTAAATAAAACCAAAGATAGAAATACATAATACAGCCCAGTACTTGCAAGGTATGTTCCTATTACTAACTGGGAACTCACCTGTATGTACATGGTACGTACTGTTTAGGTACAGAGTATGTACTTGGTACTATCTACCTTGTACTTATCAAGTAAGGATGAATCCTGGTTCCTGGTACGTACAGCAGACTTACCTTGTGATACTGGGTAATTACCAGGCTGTATTATGTATTGCTACCAAACAGAAAATATGCCACGTGAAAAAAGGAATTTGAATCTACTTTTTATTTGTCATTCATTAGAATGAAATTATTGCCTCATCACCTTAAGAAATATCTAAGGAGTTGGATGGTCATTGGCAGACATGCAACCATGGACTAAAACTCTGCTATCTATAGACCTCAAACTGCACAGGTTGATGTTTCACAGAGAGTTAACTTTTCTGCAACTACCTAAAACAAACAAAATATCCATTCAACACCTGCGTATACTCTGACTGGATTTACACATTGGTTTTGGTGTGTATTCGATGTTCTAGGGCTCCTCCCAAGACTGGAGCTTCAGAGCTGGAGGTCATCTCCCAGCAGGTGGAGGAGGACAACCAGTGTGTGGCTCCAGTCCAGCTTGTCGGCTTAGCCTATAGAGACCTGCCGTTAGCAGCTCTGGACATATCCCTCGCTGGATCCCAGCTCATCTCCAACCCAGATGAGGAGGACAACAGAGATGGGTAAGATTGGGAAATTTCACAGGTACCTCAGTTCATTTTTTTTTAGTTAGTTTGTTTAGAACAATTAAAGCTTTAAAGTCAGCTTTGACATTTTCATTCTGAAACAGAGGCTCAGTGCTCGGTGTATATAAAAGGTTTTAAACCACAAAAATCCCACTCTATTATTGTCTGTTATGTGAATATTTTTAAAAGCTAGAAACAAACTAGAAGTGTGATTATTAATGAACTCTTTCTATAATTCATTTGTAATTGTAAACCCAAAAAACTCCCACCTGAAATCAAATCACATAATGATTAATGTTCTGGCTATAGATATTGTATTTGAGATATTGTGTCTGATTTTTGTGTCAAAGGTCTGTTTTCCTAATTAAAGCAGAAATGTAATTACTATTTATAATCTACCCCATCAGTGAGAGGCTGGGCTGTCAGTCTCTCCATTGCTCATATTTGCTTGTTGTAATTACACCTGGTGTGTTGAATCATGCCTCTTTTCATACTGGAGTCTGCAAGATGAGGATATTTGGCAATAAATTAATTAGTGTCATCATGTTAAATGGGCATTGTCTCCACTCGTGTGTACTTTGTAGTTTAATGACACAGCAATTTCTCCTCCACACAGTTTGTGTTCGCACTGATGATAACTGGCAGAAAACAAAAGAGTGTTGTTAGCACTGTGCCTTTTCAGAAATATTACAGCCTTTTTTATTGCTTTGCCTTTTAGGTCTGCTTGTTGTTCTGTTATCACCATATAACCATGCTGCAGCCCCAGTGTTCTCAAGACAGGATATACCTCTCCCTGAGCATCCCTGAAGAACATGCTCATGGCTCTCACACTCAGGAATCGTGACTCACAATGCTTCTAGCACGTTGTGAAGTTGGCCTCCACGCAGAAAAAGTAGACAAACAGCATAAGCTTAATTAGAGCAGCCGGCATCTCGCCATTGAAGCCCCTGGTGCATCAGCTAACTGGCCTGTTTGGCCTGGATCAGGCTGATGGCTCTGTGGGATGGAGGGCAGGGACAGATGGGTCCTGTCCCAAACACCCTCTCTGACAGCCTCCCCATATTCACCTCACACTCAGGCTCACATAATGAATAGAAAACGTGCATTACTAGCAATGTCACAGCGAAGGGAAATATGTGACAGCATCCCAAAATTAACATCCCCCAGTGCGCCTTAATGTTAACGCCCTATGTCTCCTGAGACTTGGTGATGTACAGTACAACGGAAAAATCATGACCTCTCCTGGGATAATTCAATAAATCTGTAAAAACTGTATATATAGTCACTATAATAAAACGTGGTTTAGCATTAATTTTAATTAAGTTAATTACCACCTGAGTGGACGTAATCAGTGAACTGGTGGAAACGTGCAGTGTCTCACCCAGGTAAGCGTTGCAGTACGTCATGAACTCCTGATTTTCAGGTCACAGGCATTCCAGGACACATTCGTCATTACAGTTTCAGGCTCTTGTTTATCATTTAGCCAAACTACTGCTCCCTCCGTGACTCGGCTGTGTGACATCTGAGGAATGAAACAAAATGGGATGTGTTGCATGATTGAAATTGTTCAAAACTGCCAGTGTTGCATCATAGAGGATTTTTTTTTATTTTTTTTTATTGCAGAATGTCGATTTAGGTTTGCACTTTCAGTGTGACTGCGTACCATGCTGCTTTACTATCACAGCTATAGTTGCTCTCTGCTTCAATTTGGGAGGTGGCAAAAAAATGCCTATTTGTTTTTCTCACCTAAAACATTCTGCACTTGCTGTTTACCTCCTTTCTTTTCTTTTTTTAATATATGACTAGAACAGAAGCATAAACAAGTCTACCTATTGTTTTCTTTCCAGCTGGATCTGTTTTTTCTCTTTGACTTTGGATTGTTGACAGAATAGTTTTACACAGACAATGAAGTGGATCCCTTCTGTGTCATTTTTGACAAGGATTCTACATGAAAACATTTCTGTAAAGCGTTAGGGTTTTTTCCATTTGCCTGTGGGAGAACATTTTGAGAAAACACAACAATAATGCAGGTTAAGTTTTGCTAAACACCTACTGAACTTGCAGTTATGTATTAGAAGACGTATGTATCTTGTGAGTAAGATGAGCTGTTTTAAAGTATTATTAGATTTTTGTCTGACTTGAACTTGCTGGAAAGTCTGAGGTGAGGGTGTGTGGTGGAATTCAAAAGAGCTGACTGGTGGTGTGACTGGAACATAAAGTGTGCAGTTGGGAACCTAGAAATGTTGGGAGATTTGGGAACGAATGAGAATCAGTAACCCTACAAAGAGCAAGGTCATGGAGTTTGTAGAAATAAACTTTAATGATAAAAAATTAAATTTTACATTAAGTTTTCCAATGAATAGCCAAATACTTGTTTTATACATATACATACATACATAGACAGATGTATATATATATATATATATATATATATATATATATATATATAACGTTGTGGAACGTGCATCTGTACAGTAGAGAATTATTTGACTTTGCCAACACAAATACTTGTTTTGGACGTTTCTGTATCCCTCATATCACTGTAACAAATAGAAAGATAAATAAAAGCAAATCTCAGACTTATTTTTGGCTCCAGTTCCCTTCAGGTCAGCCTGCTGTCCTCGGCAGCAGCCACATATGCCACTGCTCTCCAGGGTCCAGACTTAGAGGTGTGAGATGACAGATGGTTCACATGGGTCAACCTGCCTCTTTGACTGGAGAGGAGAGAAGAGGAGGGCAACAAGAGGAGGGAGGGATGGAGCAGATGACCTCCATCAATAGTTTAGTTCAGAAAACTGGCAGCTGTAGGTCAAAACAAACTAATGCCACGCATGTAATCCAACCTTTCCTATTTATATTGTTCTACATGTTTGAGCAAAGGAAATTACTTTTTTTTTGTCACATTTCACACTATACATCCCAACAAGCACATCAGATCGAGGCCAAGAATGCTCAAGGTTAAAATAAGATGTAGCAATTTTTCAACATGGCAATGAAGGATGCTGCCAGAGTCTAAAATGACTCCTGGCAGGAGCAGTATTTCACAGAGGTTTAGAACCAGAGCCATGCCGCACCTGTTGTCAGTTCATCGGTGATGCGTTTTTTCCAGACACACAGAGTCTTCTCCATCAAATTAGCTCTCCTGCGTGGCACCGTTCACGCACAATAAATAACATTTGAGACCGATGCTTGTTAATGTTCACAGACGTGCAAAGTGTGAGATTGCCAATTTTTAGTCTGACAGCGGAGAAGATCAAGTGTCCTGTTGGAAAAAAAAAAAAAAAAACATTTATCAGAGACAGTACGTCTGCTGCTCTGGTTGTGGAGCCGCATCCCTCATCATTTGTTCAGTATCTGTAACATTTTTCTGGGATAGGTTGGTGTTGAGTTCCCTGAGATTTGCTGTATCCTGCTGTAAGATGCAAGGATTTAGGTTTTAATGCTTTACTGTGTTTAGCAACTGGTGAAGAGGTGTGCTTAATTAGGCAAGGCTGCCTAATTTCCTGAAATAAGATGAGAAATACCAGTCGCCACTTTGGATCTTTTGGGCATGTGCAATTCATCATCCTTTTTCATCTGTTTTTCCAATTTAGTGCAAGTGTCTGGTCATTTTCCAGATACAGATTATAGACACATGATTTACAGCACTGAGAAAGGAAACCTCCAAATTATTTAACTTAATATGTTTTTATTTCTATCTTAGCTGTTTCCATGCCTCTAACACAAACAACTCACAGATTACAGAGGAAATTAATTTAGTTTGGCAAATAACTTTATTTTCCAGTGTTCTGGGTGATTACATTCAACTAATACCTTTTTTGTGGTTTAAAAAAAAGAATATCTGAATGTGAATGAATAGGAGATAATGTATTTTAAGTGCAAGTGTGACTGGACAACCTGAACAAGATGAAGCGTTCCAACCTCTGCTGTTGAGAAGAGGCACAGCTGTGGTCCATTTTCTTCTGCCTGGGCCTGCTGAGTTCTGCAGATGGGTGTGAATTGGTTGAAGTTCATTCTCAAGGCATCGTGGGGCTTTATAGTTATCAGAACAGAGGGAGAGAAACTGAGAGTAGACAGAAAACCTGAGTCAAGAACTATCATTGTAAAATGTTGCAGACTTACCTCCTGCATGTTTAAACTGTTCAATTAAAAAGTCTTCCTCGGATTTCATGTTTCACAAAATATGATGCACCTAGATGGAAGAGAGGCTCTGAAAATAATCATTAATGGGAACATACATATTTATGATGATTCTAAATTGTTTCAAGGCATGTGGGTGCTTTTTAGAGAAGTTGTATTGATATCCATCCATTTTCTTCCGCTTATTCTGGGTTGGGTCGCATGGGTAGCAGCCTAAGTAGGGAGGCCCAGACTTCCCTCTCCCCAGCCACTTGGTCCATCTCCTCCTGGGGAATCCCAAGGCATTCCCAGGCCAGTCGAGAAACATAGTCCCTCCAGCGTGTCCTGGGTCTTCCTCTGGGTCTCCTCCCGGTGGGACGTGTCCGGAACACCTCACCAGGGAGGCGTCCAGGAGGCATCCTAACCAGATGCCCGAGCCACCTCAACTGGCTCCTCTCGACGTGGAGAAGCAGCGGCTCTACTCTGAGTCCCTCCTGGATGATCGAGCTTCTCACCCTATCTCTAAGGGAGAGCCCAGACACCCTGCGGAGAAAATTAATTTTGGCCACTTGTATCCGAGATCTCGTTCTTTCGGTCACAACCCAAAGCTCATGACCATAGATGAGGGTGGGAACGTAGATCAATCGGTAAATTGAGAGCTTTGCCTTTTGACTCAGCTCTCTCTTCACCACGACAGACCTGTACAGCGCCCGCTTCACTGCAGACGCTGCACCTATCTGCCTATCGATCTCACGTTCCATTTTTCCCTCATTCGTGAACAAGACCCCAAGATACTTGAACTCCTCCACTTGGGGCAGGACCTCCTCCCTGACCCCGAGAGGGCACTCTACCCTTTTCTGTCTCAAGACGATGGCCTC